GACTCTGCGGGACAGAGGAGCCCAGTGCCAGGCTCCGGCCCCGGGCAGGGTCTGTGTGCCCCTCGAGGGACCTGTGCCCACTGGAGCCCCAGGGCCTTTCACTGACCTGCAAGCGAGTCGACGCTGAAAGCCAAGTTCCCTTTCTCTGAAGGCAGCTCCAGGTAAGGAACAGTGCCAGAGGGAGCCGTGGGCTGGGAGGGACAGGGACATGGTGAGGGAGTTCTCATTCCCTGGGATGAGGCTCCAGAAAAGGCCATGGAATGTCCCCCAAGGGACTCCTACCTGCTCAGCACTGCCTGGCACCTCCTCCGTGCTGCCCGAGCCGAGTCTGCTGGGCTCCTTGTGCTCGAAGATGGTGGGGTAGAAGATGATGAGTGCCTCGATGATGCGAGCCTGGTGGGGATAGTCCACCAGCGAGGACAAGGAGATTGTGGCATCCGTGGGCCTGGGGCGCATCAGAGTTGGCCCAAAAACAATGCCCAGGTTGCCTGAGGTCATCTTGTTGTCCTGCTCCACTTCCACAATCCTGGTGAGGAGGAGGAACGTGTAAGAATGAGCAGAGAGAAGGGTGCATGGGCAGGGTGGGGAGATGCTGGGCTGGAGCACAGGAGCAGGGGAGAAGCAGCTGCAGCCATGGAGCTTCGTCCCTGCTTCGCTGCGGAGGCTGTGCTCGCCTCCCACCCAGGGAAGGAAAGAAGGTGCCCACGTGGGCTCTGTCCCTGCCACTCACCTCCTCAGATGCTGCAGGAGGTACTGGAGCGTGGCCATGTTCTCGCAGGGAAGCTCCTTCAGCAGCTCCCTCAGCTTCAGCACCAGGCTCAGCACCACGCGGTCGGTGTCGGCCCCTCGGTCCACCAGCTCAGGGCCCCCCTTGCCCCCACGGCCCTTGGCCTCGCCACCCTGCAGGCTCTCCTTGGCCAGCCCCATCAGCTCGTTGTACAGCCGGAACGGCAGGCGGCTGTGGAGAGCACAGGAGATGCTCCTGGTCCTGGGGGCAGCTCCCCACCTCCACTGGACCTGGACCTGTCCTAGGCTCCTGAGCTGGGGACACCTGGGGCCTTTCTACAGTGAGGAAACATCCCTGGAACTGCTCAAGGCCAGGGTGGATGGAGCTTAGAGCAACCTGGTCTAGCAAAGGTGCTCCTGCCCATGACGGGGTGAAATGAGTGGAGCTTTAGCATCCCTTCCATTCCAGGATTCCATGAGTGTGATCCCCAGTGCTGCAAACCCCCTGCCCAGAGGTGATGGTTATTTTATCCACTCCCTGAAGCATGTCACTCCAACCTCCTTAGTCCTGGCCAACCTGAGAAGTTCAAGCCAAGAGCAGCATTTGATCCCCCTGCTGGGTGGAGGTGCAGGGGTTCCCTTTGCTCCTGGAAAAGCCCTGGCTGGGGCAGCCCCAGCAGCAGCTGGGACAGAGGATGGCTGGGAAGGACAGGGAAGTGGTGTTCTGGGTGGGTGAGGCAGGAGGCGATGGCACAGGATGCGAAGGGCACAGCCCTCGGTGGAGGTGGAGCTGGCGCAGGTGAAACTGCTTTGAAGTTGGTGTGAAGCAGCCGGAGCTGCTGCTGGGTGGTTCCACATGGCTGAGATGTTTGCAGATGTTTTGAGGACAGGCTGTCACAGCAAAGCGGGTTCCCTCCATACAAAGGGACTTTAACCCTTTGATTTCTCTGCAGTGAGAGCTTGGGTGGTGACCCAGGACTGAATTCTCCTTCTTGCTCCACTCCACTTTTCTCCTCTGGAGAAACCATGGAGGCAACTCGGAGCTCTTCAGTCCTGGTGTGCAGGAGCCCAGGGACACAGCTCCCTCTCTGAGCTGCTCCTGACTCCTGGGGTGACGCAGGGAAGCCCTGAGCAAGGGTTACCCAGAGAAAGGCAGCAGGAAAGAGTTAATTCACTGCTGCCTGTGAGGGAGAAGCACTTTCCGCTGCTGTCTTGTGGTGGCTGTTGGAGGATGTGGGTGACACTGTTTGCACTGACAGTTTGGTACAGGGAAGGGGGAGGTGCCTGGGCAGTGCTGCTGTGGGGAACCTGAGGGGCAGATACTCTGCTGAGTCCACCCCAGGGTGATCCGAGGGGCAGAGCCCACCCCAGAGTGACCCAAAGGCACAGCCCTGCTCAGGGGGACATGACTCAGCCCAGCTCTGCCGTGCAGGGTGACCTTTGCTGGATTCCTTCCCTTTTCGGGTACTCAGTTCCCCAGCTGTGGGGGCAGAGGGTTTGGTGTGTCTGCATGTTGTTCTGCAGATGTGACCACAGTGACGTCATGTGGAGTGAGTTGGGGGGGTCACTGTGGCCCCGTGTCCACAGCTGACCACCCCCCATGGGAAGGAGAGGGACCTCCCCACGCACCCAGTTATTGAGCCTGGTTCGTGCTGAATCCCTCCTGCCGCGCTGGTTCCTCTGGCTACCTCCTCCCACATGAGGTACCACCAGCACCTCACCTGTCTCAGGTACAGCTTCAGGACGTTGCTGATGTCGTGGGGGGAGGCCTGGGACAGCTCCACCAGCTCCTTCCCATTCTCAAAGGCCTGGCAAAGCTTCTCCACGCGCGTCTTGACGCCGTTAACTCGGTAGATGCCCTGTGAAAGAGACAAAAATGGAGCTGAAGGGAGACATTCCCCTTTATGTTTGCATGGGACACTGAGCTTCCCACTTCCACCCTCCCTGTTTGGGGTGGGAAATCCCTCTGGGATGTCACTCTGGGATATCTCCTTCCAGCTCAGTCACTCCTGCTGCATAGGAAAATGGAAGGCAGGAGAGGGGAGTTTCCAAGGGCAGAGTTTGAGGTATTTGAGCCAAGTTCATCCCTGGGACTCCCTGCCCTCAATGATGCGAAAACAAACCCGTTGGTTTTCCAGAGGATCCTTCCAAGGGCTGGTAGTTGAGCCAGCAGAGGAGCAGGAGGAGGAAGGAGGAGAGTGAGACTCACCTTGGTTTTCAGTGCTCGCTTCTCAATCTCCGAAATGCATTTCTTGACGATGAAGGGGATCCCATCTGGGCTGCCCCGTGACGCCTTCATGAAGTCCTGCCCAAAGAGCTGCAGCTTCCCTTGGAGCTTCTTGTGCCCACACTGGATGGCCAAGGTCTCCAGGCACTTCTTGTGGCAGGCCAGGTAGCACTGGAAAAGAGAGAGGAACATGTAGAGGTAGGGGCAGCCACAGAGAGACACCAAGCACTGTTCAGAACATGCTGGGAGACAGGAAGAAGTCCTTGGAGATGCTGCAGCACCAATGGAAAGTACCTGGACCTCTCCCCACATGAGGAATGTCCTGAACACGGTCACAGCTGGGCTCAGGTGGGTTCCACTCTCAGCTCCCTTCCCACTTCCCCCAGCTCACCTCCTCACACTCGGCTCCCTGGAAGTACACGTAGCTGTTGCACTCCCGACACTTGGAGGGGGCTCGGAGCTTCCTCAGCCGATGGGTCTGGGCAGCCTTGGACAAGCCAACGTTCCGGAAGGGTCCCGTGGGGGCTGTCAGCTCTGGGGTGATCCCATTGATGCCTGGGGCAGAGCAAAAGGAAAAGTGAGTTCAGGCACAGCTTGAGCAGGACAGTCACTGCCACTGGTCTGAGCAGGGCTCATTCCTCAGGACAGAGCTCCCAGGGAGCTCTGCCGTGGTGAGGGTGCAGCAGCAGCACTGTCACCTCCCACACTGTCACCTACTCTGCTCAAAGGGGGTGGCTGTTTCGTCCTTCTCCTCCAGCTCCTCACTGGAGGACGCGGTGCCATTGGATGACAGCCGCTGGAGCTTGTGGCTGAATTCCCCTGTCCAAGGAAAACCCACAAACCAGTGAGTTACTGGCCAAGCTGTTTCTCTTCTGAGAGCTCATTCCAGTCCATCCCAACCCATCCCATCAAATCCCACCCTATCCCATCCTGTTGGAGCACAGCCATTTAGCACAGTGTTCTCACAAGGCAGGTAAAACAAGGGCTGGTCCTGCCTAACTGGGATGCTCTGGGTTTAGACTGGCTGCACTCGGAGGGGCTCCTGGGCTGCTCCTGTATCTACCTGTGCTGGAGTCCAGGCTGCTGTCAGCGTCAGCAGCAGAGGTTGGCCAGGATTTATGGACCTGGTGTCCCCTCCCACCTGCAGAGAGAACACACAGTCTCTTGGGATTGCTGTCTGTGTTCAGGAGGGATTGAAGGAAGAACAGATCTGACTTAGTAATATAAAATTCAGCTTGGGAGGCTCCCAGCCCATCCTGCTACTTCTAGCACAGCCCCTGGTACCCCAAGTACCCACCCCTGGTACCCACTCTGCTCCTGCCTGGTGGGACACGGGTGGGTGACGCAGAGCTCCAGGCTCACCTCTCCGCTCGGCCGCTCCGGTCCCGCTCGGAGACTCCTTGGCCTCTGCCCGCCCCTCAGCTCCAGCCCCCTCAGCACTTGTGGAGAGCTCACTGGCATTGAAGCTTCCCTTCCGTGTCCGAGTGAAGGGGGACCTGGAGGGGAACAGGGAATGTGGATGGGAAGGAAGGAAACTTGGAAACCCTATCAACGGCTGCAATCCTCCCGTTTTGGGATTCACAGCTGTCTCTTAAATCTCATCCACCAGAGGACGCGAGGGAACTCCCAGCTGATCCAACCCCAGCGTTCCCAGCAGGAGCTGCTTCAGGAATGCTGAAAGCATCCTGGCTCCTGCAGAGGAGTGCGGTGCCAGCCCAGGACAGCCGCAGAGCAGGAGATGAGAGCAATCCGGGAGGGTTCCCTGCCCGGTCCTACCAGGCGTTGTGGGACACGTAGGGCTCGAAGTCGTACTGCACGTCGGGCTCGTCCCCGCGCTGCAGCTGCCGCACGTGGGAGGCGTATTGCTGCCCCGGGTCGTACAGCTTGCTGCTCTCGCACAGCGTCTGGAAGTTCACGGGCAGAGCTGCCGTCTGCATGTGCATCAGCTGGTAGAAGGAGATGGTAGCCTGAAAGTGACGTGGAGAGACACAGACTTGGGATTTGTGGGCTGAGGTATAGGAGAAGGATCAGGAGCTCTGGGTTAGGTGGAAAATCAGGAGCACAGAGCAGTACTTGTTCTACAGCGTTAAGCCTTGGGTTTTCCTGAGCACAAGGGAGAGGGAAGCTCTGCACCCACCCAGACCTTGTCTGCAGTAGCTCAGCCAGCTCTGCTGGGAGGCAGCTCCAAACCCCCTGGAGCAGGGCACAGCCACCCTTGGGGACACCCCAATCCAGCCCCACTCACTGTCTTGATGATCTGGTCGCTCTGTTTGATCACCTCGTGGATCTGCCGCAGGGAGTTCACCTTGGTGTCCTCCAGCTCCTGCTTCTGCGTGTTCGCGTCGGCCACGCAGGTGCGATACGTGGCCATGGCCTCTTCTGCCTGGGAGCCAGGAGGGCAAGAGGTGGGAATGGCTCAGAGGTGAGGAGAACAGAGACAGCCCTTGGACCCTGTTCCTTCCTGGGCTGTGCCTGGGGATCTGTGGGAGCTCAGTTCACTCCCTGTGGCTCAGAGCGGCTCCTGTGCAGGGACAGCTGGAGTGAGAAGGCTCCTCTGGAGCTCTCATGTTCCTACCTTGTTCTTTGCTTCCTCTTCCAGCCGTCTCTTCTTGTCCAGAGTTTTGGTGGTGACGCTGCTGGTTGTGCTCTGCTGCTCCTCTTCTGCTTTCACCGCCATGTACTTGGCCTTGTCGTGCTCCTCGCTGCGCTGCATGTACGTCTGCTTGGCCTTGCGCAGGTTCCCCTCTGCCTCTTGCTGCCAGAGCAAACCACGACCCAGGGTGAGGGTGGAACCCAGCGAGGGGTTCAACAGCTCCTGCCAGCTGCCCTGGGTGCCCCAGCACAGCAGAGGCACCTGAGTGCTACCCGAGAGGGGCAGAGGGTTCAGCATCCTCAGAGGGGTATGAGCCACAGGGTGCTCCAGACTAGGACTGGGAACACACACCCAGTCACTCACCAGTTTCCTCTGTGCCCGGTGCCACTGCTCCTTGATCTCCTTCCTCCGCTTCTCGTGTTCGAGGCGTCTCACTGTCAGTGGCTGGATTGGAAGGGAGGAACAGCCCCGTGAGGCCCCGAGCTGAGCTCCTGCTCCTCCTGCTCTGCCCTTTGCCAGGGCTTTGCGAGAAGTGCCTGTGGTGGTCACTATCGCCCCCAGCACATCCAGGCTGGGGCACAGGGATGAAAATTCACAGCCTGGGAAGCACTGGATGCAGGTTCCCTCCAGACTGAGCTATCAAGAGCCACCTGTGCAACACCAGGACCACCAGCCCTTGGGGAGGACCCTTCATCCCCTCACCTGGAGGAAGGTTTGGTGCTGCAGGGTGTTGGCAGCCTGCAGAACTGATGTCCCGTGCTCCATGTCCTGCTCCAGGGCCAGCAGGTAGATGGACAGGAAAGGCATGTTGGTCTGGGAAAGGGAAAAACACATCACCCTGAGCCCCAGCACGTGGCATGAGTCCAAGAAGACACATCCTTCAGGGAGGAGGAGCCAGAGGTGAGGTGAGGTGAGGTTGGTGACTGCTGTTGAAAGCTCCATCCTGAATTTTGCCAGGCAAGGAGCTCTGGAGAGCTGCCTGTGTGTTCTCTCATGCTCTAGAGCTCAGGCACATGGAATGGGCTCTCCAGGGCTGGTGGCTTCCGATCCAGCCCAGTGCCGGGGCATTAGGGACACAGGAACTTACCTCCTGGCTGATGGTTTGCTTGCAGCTGTTTGCCATCTTCTGGAGCCCTTTGGCAAACTCCATCTCTGGAAGAAAAAGTTGGATGTCAAAAGACACAGGAGACACCAGAATTCCCTGGCATTGAGTTCCTTCACTTCAGCAGTGATGTTCCTGCTGTCCTGGCAACATCTGCCTCCCCCAGCCTCTCTGTTCATAGGGACCTTGGCCTGTCCCAGGGCTCAGCCCTGCTCTCAGGGGTCCCACCTGCTGTCCCCCCACTCACCCAGTGTGGTCCTTTTCTCCAGGTATCCGATCAAGTCCTTCATGTACTTGGAGATGGTTTTGGCATACTGGAGAGCAGCGTCCACCCCTCCCTCGCAGCGCTGCAGCATCACATCCACCTCCTCGGCCGGAGGACGAGCTGTGGTGGGAGACTGAGCTTCCAGTGCAAACCTCCCATCTCATGCTGTCACTGTGCTGTGCTGGAGTCCTGCCTCCCCCAGGGCCACTGGCACTGCTACTTTTTCCCAGCCAAGGAGCCATGGTGGTGATGAGGAAGGAGCTCTCTCCTGCTCAGCCAGGCACCCCCAGCCCAAACCCTGAGCCCAGGCTCGTCCTGCTTACCCGTGTTGTAGCTCTCCATGCCCGAAGACACAGTGTCTCCTCCAGGCCCAGGGATCCCCCCATAGAGGTTCTCCATACTCTTTGGGAATGCAGAAAGAAAAGGGACCAGTCAGCAGAGGATGGGGAGCAGCTCGAGGGGCTGGAGCCCAGACCCCAGAGCTGCAGGAGCCTTTTGGCTGTTGCTGGAGCTAACAGGAATGTTGCTGGAGAAACACCAGCTCTGGGCTCAGGGGGGAGCAGCCAGAGCCCTGCATGACCCCTCACCCCTTCCCTCACCTGGTTCTGGTCACTAGGTGGGATGGAAAGGATGGTGCTGCTGTCCACCTCCCCCATGAGGAACTCGGACACGCTGTGGGGAGAGGAACGTGGCTCAGCACAGGGACAGTGACATGGGCTGGCACCCACAGACCATCTCCGGGCTAAGGCTGTCCAAAATCCCTTACGTGCTGCTGAAGGCCACGGCAATCGTCTCCACAGCCTTCTCGAACTCCCTCTTGTCTGCCTCATTGTTGGACTCGTAGTGGAAACCTGGAGATAGGAAATGTCACTGCAGGTGCCTGTCCCTGCCTCAGCAGAAGGACCTGCCAGCTCATGCCAGTCCCAGGGGGCAGTGGGTCTGAGGAAAGGCCTGGGGTGAGTTGAGGGAGCAGTGGGGAGGATCATCCCGATAGATGATGGATTTCTCCAGCACAGCACAGTGTTCCCCTTTCTCCCAGGCCTGATTTCCCTGACAGCATCCCTTGGCTCATGTTTCTGTTTATTCCCGTAAATCAGGGCTGCTGGAAAAGCACTGCTGGACCTGTTCCACTGCCTGCTCTGCCTGACGGTGCCTCCAGACCCTGCTCGGAGCAGGATGGACTCCTCTGAAAGAGGAACCACCAGCAGCAGCGGGAACCGGTGCAGATAGAGCTCAGCAGACAACCACCCCATGGGACCCCAGCAGCCAGGGCTCCTGGGGAACCAGGGTCAGCTCCGTGGGATGGACTGAGCTGCAGTGAGGGGCTGGGGTCTGCCCCCACCCCCTCCCGCCCCATGGCAGAGCCGCCACCACCCCTGTCCCCGCGGCTGTGGTGTCCAGGAAGCGATGGGTGACGCAGAGGGTTGTGCTCTGACTGTGGTCGGTGCAACCGCCCACTCCCCACGGCTGACAGCAGCGGGAGGAGGTGCCCAGCCGGGATCTGCCCTCCCAGACCCCACTCTGTAAACACAAGGGGCTGCCAGGAGCAAGATCTGATTATTTCACTGTTTTTCCTGTGGCTGTGCCTGGAAACCCCCGGGCGGGATCTGTCATTTCTGACC